TTGAAAAAAAATCTGCATCCTGGCATCAGGACGCATTGTCGCCAACGTGTTAAGAAGGTGATTTCACTTGATCAATCGATCACATCACGTTATTATTTGAAGCCCTTGAAAGATGACACACTACTAGAGGGAGCTTGCGAGTTTTCTTTTCATTTTAGCTGAAAGTGACATCTGATTGGCTGAAAGTGAAAGTGACATTGAGAATATTGAGATCGGAGAGGCCCACCTTTCGGGAACCCAAGTATTCCATGCCTTTAGCTATCTGGAAAGCCCAAGAGACGAGATTGCTAGTCGTGAATTGTCTTGAGCGATCGCTTCCTTCTAAGGACTGATGGCTGGTGTTCCCCTTCCGCGCAGGATGTTTTGATTCACTCTCACTTCCTGAAATGAAAGTGATTCATGGCAAATGCCGCTATTTAAGCTTTTGCTGTTGAAAATTGCAATTGTAGATGAAGATGCTGCTGCGTTTGTTCGGGCTATTCCACCGATCCAGAATCTCGACTGGTTAAAATGTTACGATTTATGGTGCACGATGTCATAATTTTTACTATGGCAGGATTTTTTGACAGATGCATGAAACGAAGTTAAGTTAAGCTAAGGAAGTTGAGGAATTTGATCATACGACTCGAAGATGGAAGAATCCCAGAGTCAGAGTCAACAGAATCCTTCTGGAGTACACCGTCGGGTCCTCCGGAGTCAGTCGCCGTTGATGCAACAGGTAAAAACTTCACAACCCATTCGCTGCTTAGACGAGAAAGAGTTGTTGACTTGGAGCGTCTTGGCAAAACGGCGAATTTAAACTGTGAAGGAAAGGCTCACCTTAGTGTTCCATCTCTCTGGGCTTCGAGTGCAGCATCTTCGTTTGCAGAATCATCAGTGCAATGCTCCAGTCTCCCGGTACTGTCATTGAGCGTTTGGTTGTGGCGGTCTATCTGATCGATGAAGTTCGGTTCATTTGCCCTCAGGTACTTCTCCAGACTCCCGAAAGGGCAATATTCCATGATCATCATCAGATCCCCTAAAATTAATATTTATTTTCTTTCGAATCGATATAAATAGCTTACATAAAAGTTAGAACGATATATACTGGCGTTTTATCAAAATAAGACCGTAAAAAGAAAATAATGGAATTTCTAGAGCAATCATTTTTCATCTGGAATTTATACCGAAGTAAAGAGAAGCATTACCCCTAACGCAGAGATCGGGCTGATCCATGAACCAGAGGTGGCATGGAAACGATGTAACGTGTGTCTCCGTTCAGCCTGTTCCGAGAGTCCAGGGGGGAATACTGGCTGGTTCTCTAACCTGGTTGGCTGGTTCTACGTTACAGGTACGGATGAATGGGCACTGCTAGGATAATGAGATACCTTCGGAGAACAATTTTTCTGTTGGTGTCAGTGCAGTTATTGGAATCATTGAGAAAATCATTTCTTCGCCGTATCATTACCTCCTCGATAAAATGCATTCATGTGAGAGAGAGAAAACATATGGGAACCCATCAATAAGATGCGAGAATGAGCCTCGTACTGGCTACCGACTTACCTCTGTTAGGTCTCAATATGATAAACTTCAAAATATCTCCCTCGGCTAAAATGCACTTCACCCAACGTTTGTATGGATTCCAAAACCCTAACTGTATCCCATTTCTTGAAACCTCCTTCAGCGATTTGGTCGCGCTTACTTGTGGGTTATTCCATACGAACTCAGCCTGTACTAGTGTAAAATGGAACCGTACCATTTCATATTTCAGGATTAAAATTCTCAGCAATAACAGTCAATCTAAAAACCTTAGGTATAAAGAAGAATGGACTCCATTGGATTAGCTGTTGGTGAGATATCGTCCCCCGAACCTTAGAACCAAACGTAAAAATCCACGGACGAAAAAATTTAAGCTCAGGAACCCTTCATCGCACGGTGGCGTGGAATCGATTGAACCGGATCTATTCTCAAGTATCTTATTAACGTCAATATTATATAAATTTGATGTAATTTTTTCCCTATGTTTTATCTGTTTTATGCAAACCTTCATCAATTGTCAACATGTTTGCAGAAATGTCACCATTGTGATACGCAAACAGTGATGTAAAACTGACTAGAATTTTAAATGGATTTGACATTCCCGTTTTGTATCCGAAGCAGCATGTTTATATCCATTTCATATAAAGTGTTTGTTAATTTTTTTGTTAAAATTCATGTCAATTTTTATCACTAGTAAACCACCAGCTTTTACGAGAAAGTTAGAATGTTCGTTAGAATACTCAGAAAAGTCCACAAGTGCTCTTCCTTACAAATACACAAGAGTACCCGCTACTCCACTCCTTTGCACCCAGCTCAGAACCCTGACATAATAAACAGGACGTAAAGGTACTTTATGTAGAAGAAAAATGTTTGAATATTAAGAAGTCCTGCATTTCACACTTCCTTACTCCCGTACATTCCTGTATTTCCATACCTCAACATTTAATCATTCTCTGAGTCATATATTTTAATAATAATATCATACTTCCATGTTTTCCTAAAATATGTTCATAAATTGCACAAAGAAAAGAGGAAAGGGAGGAGAAAGGCGTCATACTATACCAGGAAAGCAGGTACTTGTTGGCATTTGTTGCGTGCTGGGAACATGGGATCCATCTAGTAAGGCTCTTGGAATTATAGACACTCTAGAGTGAGCTAAAATTTCATATGGATGTTGTGGTGCTGATTTTGCATGAACTTCAAATCATGTATTTTATATCAGAGGAAGTCATGTC